ATTCAAGATGTAAGCCTTCTCCATAATTATGAGTACCTGAAGGAAGGTCTGAAGGTCTGGAAAGCGTTTAAAATGGGCGAGGGAAAATTGCTTAAATGGGAGACTCTTGATAAAGATGCAGTGGTTCTACCCTTGRCACTTGAAGTCATAGAGAGTGCAAGTGCAAAGGAATCCATTAGCGCATCACGGCAAGCAGAGGTCTCGAAGAAGCCTGTAAAGCAACCATCTAAGTCACCATTGAGTAAAGATAATGAGCAKGAAGATGGATTATTCAGTTGCCCTGAGCCTGGGTGTGTCAAGGAATATATCAAGCTGTGGAACCTAGACAAACATCTTGCCACTGGAAAACATGTCTATAAAGAAGCTAGCGAGCCACTTTGTGACCGAGTTCTGAGGAAATGGGCGGAACAGTTTGAGAAAGTAACTTTAAATGAGGTTCCTGAAGCTAAAGAAAGCACACAAGCAGATGTCAACAGCAGCGCAAATGGTACTCTTGAGCAAGGTTGGGCTTTAAAGACGTCCAGAAAAGTAGTTCGTTTTTCTGAAAAAGTCAAGAATTATCTCAAAGACAAGTTCGACGCTGGTAAGACAACTGGTCGTAAAGCAGATCCAGTACAACTTTCGGTARATATGCGATGCGCTAGAGATGAAGAAGGAACASGGATGTTTCCAGCTGATGAGTGTCTACAGCCTCAACAAATTCGTTCGTATTTCTCAAGATTATCAGCTGCCCAAAAASCTGGTATAAAAAATGCTGAYGATTTGAGTGATGCTCAAGTCCTTGACATGGAAAAAGACATTGAAGCACAACAGCATGAAACTTCAGCTTGTCATCTTCGCGATGCTATCTTAGATGAAGTTRCTGAGAAACATCCAATATACTACGACAGATTTAACTTATGTGAATTGTATCAAAAAGACAGGCTAAACAAGTTCARTATAGATATGCTGGTGCGCATTTGTAAACATTTTGATCTTGAAGTCTCCGATGTATCAAGAGGGAGGAAGGAGGGTTTTATCTGCCGTATAAAACAAGTTGTCCAGAGTTGCAGCTGTTGTATGTAATTCAACGGACTCATTGAGTATCAATAACATCATTGTGTTTGTTTATCAACTGAAATAGTGTTATTTTTATTTGTGTTCTTATGTACTATAATAGATACACAGATTAGGTCAAAAAATGAGATCTATTTGTTTTATATAATCTATTTTTTCAATATGCCTCAGCGTGCGTAATATCAAAGAAATGGTTGAAAAGACCAAATTTTATTGATGACAAGTATTTTATATCGATGTAAGCATGAACTTAATGTCATTATAGGTTCCTATTTATTTCATGTTCAGTTTGTTTAAAAAAATATATTTGAGCTACCACATAGCAGCTGATAACTTTGGTTACAATTATCAAACAAAGAAAGACATTGATTGCTCTAGAGAATGTAAGAAATTGTTGAAAAATTAGTTTTCAATTGTTTTTACTTTAGCATTGTTAGAATCTATATATTTTATAACTGAAAGACCATTCAAGGCGTAAACAAAAAATGAAAATGGTGTTATTTCATAATAAATGCCCCGAATAGGGGACTACAAACCCGAATTTGATRTCTAGGTTTACTTAAGCGAAAAATATGCTTYAAAGCAAAATCCCAGCCTGATTATTGTTTGGAAATTTGTTGCAATACATCATTAATATTTGTGCCTAGTTTCAGTTTGAAAGAGTGGTTGGACGTTACATTATCRAATTGCAAAGTTGATTAGTTTTACGTTGTTAATTTATGCAAATTTTTTCATAACTGTGTTTTAGTACTAATTTTGTAGCTCTGAAATCTTTCTAATCTAAGTTTTTTTCCTCCTGAAAAAAGTTTTAAATATTATACAACTGTTWTAAACTTTAGGGAACGACTTAAAGTCATCACTTTTTWTATACTGTTTCTAACAACATTTAGACCCATATTGTGCATTTCTTTTATATTAAATTCATCTCCTACAATATAAATGCTGAGTTTCAAGAAAAAAACTTGATAGGTCTGTTTGAATAAAGTTTGTTTAAATATACTTAAAGTTTCAGATGATTTCAAACCAAAAAAAAAATTAGCGCCCGCCGCATCTTGCTCGATTCTTACGGACAGCCTGTCATAAATCAATTAATGGTCTTGCTCCAATCTACATGCACTCTATGTTCACAGAACGTGACAGCGTTACCTCTTATTCTTTGCGAGACACTGAGAGCAAACTAGCTATTCCCCAGCCTCGCACAAACTACCTAACAAATAGCTTCGGCTATTGCGGTGCGGTGCTGTGGAATAGCCTTCCAGTCGGGTTACAGCAGGCAAGCTCCGTTAATACTTTTCGGAAGCATTGCTGCAACTATTTTTAAATACGTATACAGTTTTGTTGTATCAACTTTTATTTGCACGGCTCCCACGGAAAACAGTTTTTTTTGTTAAAATTAAATTATCATATTTATAGATATTATTAATAGTTTTTAGCTTATCTTTGTAGTTTGCAAATATTATTGTTAGTATTTTTTAACTGATTGGGATATTCCGTGGATAAATAAAGATTTGATTGATTGTTTGATTGAAATTCTTGAGATTAGTTTTAAAATGTCTGAGAATTCTTCAATTGTGGCCAATACGAGCTCGCCGGTGACAAATAATGAAAGTATGGCAATGCTTAAGGAACTTTCGAACAAGATCGATGCTTTGGCAAGCAAGATCGAAGATTCTACTTGTCGCGCTAAACAAACAACCCCAAAGCAATGTCGGGTGAGTTCGCGATTGTTTTCTTATCTGATTTAGTCTAAAGTGGTTTCATGCCAAATCTTATTTCTTTTTAACGCAGTTTGGTTAAAAAATATGCATTCTGAACGATTATTTTTTGGACAAAACATTCTTCGTTTTAAACCGTATGGCGTCATGGCGGCATTTTTTCCTTTGAGTTGGTGTTTGAGCAATGTAATGATTATTTGATTCTACTTGAACCCCTTGACGAGCGGGTAACCATCTTGAATGTATTGCGCATTTTATTTCGAAAATCGAGCTTCTATACTGGGTGTTATCAAACTCATTAATAATTCATAAGGTAATTAGCCAATAAAATGTTGTCAGATAATCACGTGATGATATCTTTATACCAGGGAAAAAGTCAAACAAACTAAAAGTAGGGGGCGGCTTTGAATATTTTCAGGGGAGTGCGGGGCTGATAAAGTACTAATGAATAAAATATTAGGACTTTATCAGCGATAAAGTCCTAATATTTTATTCATTAGTACTTTATCAGCCCCGCACTCCCCTGAAAATATTCAAAGCCGCCCCCTACTTTTAGTTTGTTTGACTTTTTCCCTGGTATAAAGATATCATCACGTGATTATCTGACAACATTTTATTGGCCAATTACCTTATGAATTATTAATGAGTTTGATAAAAGCTTTTAGCACATTGGCTATCAGAGAGCGATCACCTTATAATTCGAGCTCAGATCAAAATCTTGCATGATTGATACTGCTCTATCTTATCTCATCCAGACACG